CGTGCGCTCGTGCGCTTCCCGCCTTCCCATTGGCTGGGCGATGGCGATTGGGCGGGGCCCGGCGAGCGAGGCCCCGGCCAGAGGGGCGGGGGCGGAAGAGGGCGCGCTCCCCGCCAGTTTTGTGACGTCACGGGGGTCAGACAATCCCTTCCATTTGGCACGGCCTGCCTATTGGCTCCACGCGTGCGCGCGCTCCCGTGGCCACGCCCTGTTGCTGGTGCAGGTGGGTCTGCGCGCGCCGCCGCCCCGATGATGGACAGCTTTGAGGGGGTTGGCCCGGGGCTCGTAGATGAGGAGGTACCTGGGCAGGCTCCAGCGTCCCGGTGCGCCTCTCCTCCGGAGCCGCTTGCTCCCCCGCGGGCGGGCTTCCGCGAATGCCTGGCACCTCTGCAGGGCCCGCGTGGCGCGCTAGACCGGCCTGAGGACCAGGCCTCTGCTGCACCGGGCTGCCACGGGCAGACCGCGGGAGCGACTCACCCCAATGGGGACCTCAGCTCCCCGACCTGTTAAGTGAGGCGTGGCGGAGAATCTTGGATGTGTATTGCTTCATTCATTCAAGACCAAGCTGCTGATTTTAGGAGGATTAAGTCGGATGGTGTTTTCTATTATTTTTCTCAGTGCCCTTGAAGTCCCAGGGCTTAGGCCAAAGGGAAGTTTGATGAAGGAATTCTTGCCTTTGTAGAGTAGGTGTGTGCTCATGTTCTCTGAAGGACTTTGAAATCAGCATTCCCTCCTTGGTCCTGACTCATTCAGTCATGAATAAACAAATACAGCCAGTGGAAGTGGGAAGAACCTTTTAAGTCATTCCCAGTGACAAAATCCATCTCCCTCCCATGAGACTAAGTTTGCTCATCTGTGAGGTGAGGTTAGGTTTAGGACTTCATTACCACTGTATGTGCTAAACAAGACACTAAAGGCTTCTATCCTTACTGCCATCCACAAATGTCTCTTTATGGGATGATGGCTTCTTGTCTACATCTACATAGATGCCATATTCATGACATAGAAGTTTCTTGGGAGATGTCAGGTAAACTACTGTACTTCTGCTCAATGTTAGTGAGTTGACTTTGATTTATTGCATACATTAACAGAAGTTAGCAAAGTGATGTGGACTAGATAAGAGAACTGCCAGGTTTACTGTGTTTTATTAATCTGAATTATTTAAATTTTTATGTAGTAAAGGAAAAGCTTTATATAAGCAAACATGTAATTCATAATTCCTGAATCTTTGCCCATCCCCAGGGGAGGCTTATGGACAAAGAAGATGAAGGTGGATTAGAATAGAACAGCTACCACAGGTAACTCTCCCAACCAACGACAAGGTAAGGTGCCCTTAGTCCCTTGCCATTCTCTTTTAGAGCAAGGAGATATATTTCTCCTCCCCTAAAAACAATCACACTCTGGCAGTTTCTGTTTAAATAGAGTCCCAGCATATCTTGACCAAGGGCTCAGTGTGGCCTGAATTTGTTCTGGGTACATGCACAGGAAGGCAAAACTGTCCTCAAGTATAAGTTTAAGGGAGAATCCCTTATTTCCCATCTTATAACTATGCATAATTGGATGTGCATCTAATTAAAATCAGATGCATTGTGGGAAGGAACATGCACAGTTGAAAAAATGAATATAGGACCTAATCTACCAAGCAAAATATGACTCATATTACAACTTCTATCAACCAAACAGCTGTTACTGAACTACATAAAAGTAAACCCCAAACAATACTTTCAGGCCTTCAGTGTTCTCATGTAGCCTACTGCCCATCTTGAGTTTATCTTTCTCTGATCTGTATTATTGCTTCACTTTGAATAAAATTATCTTGCTATTTTTCAAATCTGTGTGAGCCCTTATTTCCAGCTCGTTGGATAAGAGGCCAAGAACCTTGAAACAACTGACTGCTGCCACCAATAAGGATTGTAAATAATGAGATTCCAGAATTTATACCTCCATTGAAAAAGACCTTGAAAGCTGTTGCACTGACTAATTTCCTCATAACACAATGCTGTCAGTGTCGCATAAAATTTCTTTTTCGCGGGCGGTGGTGGTGCACGCCTTTAATCCCAGCACTCGGGAGGCAGAGGCAGGCGGATCTCTGTGAGTTCGAGGCCAGGCTGGGCTACAGAGTGAGCTCCAG